TCTTTCTTTCTTTCTTTCTTTCTTTCTTTCTTTCTTTCTTTCTTTCTTTCTTTCTTTCTTTCTTTCTTTCTTTCTTTCTTTCCTTTCTGTCTCCCTCCTTCCTTCCTTTCCTTTCCTTCCCTCCCTCTTTCTTTTTTCTTTCTTTCTTTCTTTCTTCCTACCTCCCTCCTTCCTTTTCTTCCTTCCCCTCCCTCTTTCTTTCTGCTTGCCTTCCTTCTTTCTCCTTTCCTTTCCTTCCTTCCTTCTTTCTTTCTTTTTATCTTCCTCCCTCCCTCCCTTCTTCCTTTCCCTCCCTCCCTCCCCCTCTCTCTGTCTCTTCCTTTCTCCCTCCCTCTTTCTGCCTGCCTGCCTGCCTGCCTTCTTCCATCCTTTCCATCTGTCTGTCTGACTGACTGTGTCTCCCTCCCTCCCTCCCTCTTTCTGCCTGCCTGCCTTCTTCCCACCTTTCCCTCTATCTATCTATCTATCTATCTATCTATCTATCTATCTATCTATCTATCTATCTATCTACCTACCTACCTACCTACCTATCTATCTATCTATCTATCTATCTATCATCTCCCTCCCTCCCTCTTTCTTCCTGCCTGCCTGCATTCCTTCTTCCTGTTCCTCTCTCTCTCTCCTCCCCCATCAACTCAAGGTAGCAAACATCGTTCCTCCCTCCCCTCCTCTTCTTTTCCTGACAACAATGCTATGAGCTGTGTTGGGTTGTGAGGAAGTAATGGGCCCGAAATCACCCAGCCAGCTTTCATGCCTACGGGAGACCTAGAACTCACAGTCTCCCGGTTTCCAGTCCAGCACCTTCACCAGTACACCAGACCTGTTCCCATTATAAAGGGTTGTCTTTTTCCAGAATTTGAGACATTCACTTCGCTCTCCAGGCCAAATTAGGCATGTTATTCATGAAGCGAATGCATTGGCTGTAGAGGAGGCTTCTTTTAGTATCGGTGGGCATTCTGCTTCAACAATAAGCAGCCCATTGCTGTTCTGGTGCTTCCTTGCATTTATGTAATGGAGTGCGCCAAGAGTTCACCGTTTTTGCAGAATCGATCTGAACATACATTTGGATTTATCTTGTTTTTAGGTGACCTGCCGTGCCATCGGAATTGGGGCTTACGTTGTCCGGCTGGGACAAAGGACAATCCAGGTGGAAAATTCACATATAATCTTGACCGGTGCTGGAGCGCTCAACAAAGTAAGCCTTTCTTTTTTGTGGATCATGATTTTTAAAACTGGGGTCTCCAACCTTGGCAGCTTTAAGGCTTGTGGACTTCAACTCCCAGAATTCCCCAGCCAGCCCATTGCTTTGGACAACAACTCTCAAAGATGAATGAAGGCAAATGTTGCAGGATCCCATCTGGGTGGATCACTGGGATCTGAGGTTTTGTCTACGAGCTTTTGGACTCATGCTGGATCCCATCTTCCGGGAACTTCTCTTTCACCAGAATGGGTGCTTTGGGCTATTCTGTGTGCCATTCTGTGTCCTGGGGCTCTTCAGTTGTTGATTGGGGTGTTGATGGCCAGTTATTAAACAAAAATTAAAAAGCTGCAACACATCCAGGCACCCCATGCATAGAATAGCCCATCTTCACCCATTCTGTGTTGTGGCTCACCAGCAGCCTGTGCAGATGACAGCGGAATGAGACCGTGGGGAAGAACGGGGACCAGTCCAGGAGTCTGGAGAGGACTCAGACGAGGGTCCCGCGTCCGATGCAGAAATTGGGGCCAGGACCATCTGGGAGTGGGGTGCTGACTCTGGAGCCTTCGGAGTCTGGCAGCAGCGAGGCAGAGGAACAAGGGGAGCCTGTTCCCTGTACGCGTGTGTGCAGAGCTGCCAGAAGGCAAGAGCAGCTGAAACAAAAGGGGCAACTTGGGAGTAAGGCTGGGAGGTGATTGCCCCTCCCATAAGGTATAAAGGACAGGCAAAGGTACAGAAATCTTTGCAGGAAGCAAAGTCCTTCGTTCTGTTCAGATTAATCCTTGAAGCTCTTTGTGGACTTTGTACTTCGGTTGGTTTTTTTTTATAATTCATTTGGCACTCTCGTTGCTGGCAGCACTTCACAGCAAAGAAAGGCGGGTGCTTATCTCAAGGGACTGTTTGGGACTCATTACCGGCTGGGAATGAAAATAATTCCCAGCGTTGAAATAAAACAAAGAGTTCTTTTAACTAAGCGTGTGCTTAATTATGGTCTGGGGAAAGAACATTCTGGAGAGAAAGAAGTTCCCCGAGAATGGGCTTCAGCACGACTTCAAAACCTCGGAAGCCTAAACCACTGGCCTTGGAGAACAACCCATATTGGATCCTGCAACTCTCAAAGAGGCACTTTCAGCGGCCCCACGCGCATCCCAAGGCCTGTGGAAAAGGCACGAGACGTGAATCGAAAAGCTTTCTCTTGCCTTGTGCGTTGTTCCCCCCCCTCCGGTCCTTCTGCGAGCCGAGTGGCCCATTGTGCGGTCCAAACCCCCGCTTCTGTTTTATTTAGATCAGTGCGCTCTTCTCGGCCAGCCTGCTGTTTCTCCTGCAGAATAATGACCCCCCCCCCTCTTCAGAGAAAAGCGAGGCTGGCTTGTTTGCAGCCTTTGTGCAATATACCTGAATGAATTGTCCCCCTGGGGTTGAAAATGCCCCAACCTCCTAGCCATCCCACTTTAGGTTTTAAACAGGGTTGGAAGCAGGAGTCAAAGGCTACGGCTCTTAAATCACCACACCACCCAGGCAGCAGCTGTTTGAAATTTATGCTCAAGAGCCCAGTTCTTGTGAACAGGAGAGAGAAACAATTTGCCCTTGAATTAGAGATGGAGGCAGAGTGGATTGTGTGAGGGTGGGGGGAGGAGGAGATGACAAGGGGAAGCAGGTGGCAGAGGGGGGGGGGAGGGAAGGGCAATTCCACTTTTATTTTTCTTTCTTTGGGTAGCAATCTGATTCCGGGGATTTGCAGCACAGCCACGACAAAGATTGGAGGGGAATGTTGTGACTATTGTGGTACCCTGAGCCAAAGGTTCAAGGAGATGGAGACCTTTCCTTTGATGCAAAGGGATCAGCGCCGAGAGTTAAGCAATGCACTTAAAAATAATAATAAAAAATGGAGACGCATCGGTTTGGCCCCTGGGCGGGGGGGTGGGGGAAGATCTGCTTGTGCGAGTTGTGCTTTTTAAGAATCGGTGTTCGGGCGATAGAATCTTTGCTGAAGAATTTGGGCAGCCCAAGGACCAAGTCAGTCCAAGATATCTTGATTTTGTGCCTTTGCTGGGGAGGGATAAGCTGTGATTCAGTGGGAATGCAGCACGCAGCTTTTATACCGGGGTTCTCCAAAAAGTGGCCAATGGTGAGTAATATAGGTAGTCCTTGACTTACAATCAATAGCAATAGCACTTAGACTTATACACCGTTTTATAGTGCTTTACAGTGCTCTAAGCCAGTGGTTGTGCCAACCAGTGGGCCGGGAACCACTAATGGACCACGAGAGAATTTTGGTGGTCCACAGAGAAATGGCACCCCCAAAGCACTCCCCAAAGCAGTTGTGTGCGGGAACACAAGGCTGCACCACCCACATGGCCCGCAGGAACACAAGGCTTGTGTCGCTTGCATTGCGAACAACACAAGGTAGTGAGGAGAGGGGGGGGAAAGGCGGAGCGGGGGAACTTGCCTCACTCGCCCCACGCGCCTGTCCTGGTCACCGGGCTGCTTCTTTCCGCTTCTTTCTTCTTCTGCTTTTGATTGCACGCAAGGAAAGCAGCAAAAGTCTTTCTCTCCCCCAAACTCTGCCAGAAATGAGTCTTTGGGACCCTGCAAGGCATCCTGCTCCAAGAGGCTACGCCCTTCTGGCGGAGTTTGGGGGGAGAGAAAGAAAGACTTTTGCTGCTTCTGCTGCTTTCCTTGCATGAAGCCAAAAGTCTCTCTCTCTCTCTCTCCTCCTGAGAATGGAGCTGGAATCGATATCCGGCGATCCCACATAAAGAATGATCGATCGGTAGGAAAATGGGGTGGAGAATTTTCCTGCAGACTTTTTTTCCTGCAGCCACCATCAGTTAAAATTCATATTAGTGGTCCGCGGGATTTAAAAGTATGAGTTTGGGGGTCCCTGGGGTCCAAAAAGGTTGGCGACCCCTGCTCTAAGCAGTTTTTACAGAGTCAGCATATGACCCCCATCAATCTGGGTCCTCATTTTACCTACCTCAGAAGGATGGAAAGTTGAGTCAACCTTGAGCCTGGTGGGATTCAATCTGCCAAATTGCAGTCAGCCGGCAGCCAGCAGAAGTAGCCTGCAGTACTGCACTTTAATCACTGCACCACCACAGCTGATTTGTTTAACGACTGTTCAAAGTTACAGTGGCCCTGAAACAAGTGACTTATGACCAGTCGTCACAGTTACGACCATCACAGCATCCCCATGGACAGAGCATCAAAATTCTAGCACTTGGCATGTATTTATGATGGTTGTAGCATCCCAGGGTCATGTGATCACTATTTCTGACCTTCCCTTCTGCTTTCCAACAAACAAAGCTAATAGGAGAAACTGTATTTGCTTAACAATCTCCTGATTCACTTAGCAACTGTAGTGATTTGCTTTAACAACTGAGGCAAAAAGAGCTTATAAAATCGGGTGTGACTCACCTCGAGCCCTGGTGGCATGGTGGTTAAAGTGCAGTATTGCAGGCAGACTCTGCCCACAGCCTGGAGTTCGATCCTGACAGGCTCAAGGCTGACTCGGTCATCCATCCTTCTGAGATCAGTAAAATGAGGACCCAGATTGTTATACAAGTATATAAATAATGTTTCTACATTGTAAATTGGCCAGAGAATGCTATAAAGCTCTACGGGGTGCTCTATAAGCCTAAATCATCATCATCATCATCTCCTTTTAATGACCCATAATCCCTTGCGGTGTGGAGTCTGGGCAACTGAATGGAGCTGAGTGTTTACTGGACGGATGCCCTTCCTGTCATCAATGCAGAGTTATATTCAGCAGATATATTCTCAACGTGCCCTGAGAGGGAAATATCTGCCTCTTCCTAGGATCGAACTCACAGCTTCCTGATTGTGAGGCAAGAGCTCCACCTCTAGTTCGTGGCGCCACTGTATATAAGCCTAAATGCTATTGCTATTTCTAACTGCTATGCCTAGTAATGAAAATTCATGGCCTAAATGGGGTCGCAAGTTGAGAACTCTCTGTATTGTCAGCCATAGTGCTGGGCTGAATGGACCAGGGCTACATGGCATGAGAAATGTGACTCTGTGGATGGCATGCTGGCTATGGCAGGATCATAGAGTTCCAGCTATGGCAGGTACTACCATAGAGTGGATGTTTGGTAGGCCAGATATAGCCTCCACATTCAAGGCTTTTAGGTTGAAGCTCTAAAGCAGGGCTCTCCAAATTGGCAATTTTTAGACTTGTGGACTTCAACTCCCAGAATTCCTCAGTCATCCATTCCAAAATCTTTCTCACAGTTGTTAAGTGAATCACTGCACTTATTAAATTACTAAAATGGTTGTTAAGTGAATCTGGGCTTCCCCATTGACTTTGCTTGTCAGAAAGTCGCAAAAGGGGATGGCGTGACCCCAGGACACTGCGACCGTCATAAATAGGAACCAGTTGCCAAGTGCCTTGATTTGGATCACATGTCTACAGGGATGGTCATAAATGTGAAGAAAGGTCATAAATTGCATTTTTTTCGGTGCTGTCAGTTCGAACGGTCACTAAACGAACTGTTGTAAGTCAAGGAGTACCTGTACCCTTCAACCCACGCTATGGTTTTTTTTGGTTGACGGTGTTATCAAATACGGCCATCGTTATTTCCTCTCACTTAACAACTGTCTCAACTGGCAATTGTTCTGACCCAGGCTTCGTCAATTGTAATTAATCACAAACTTGTTTTAAAAGTAAAACCTATTTTATTGGAAGGCTGGAAATTGTTTTCATTCCCAGCCAGAACTAATCTTAAATAGTCCCCCAAGATAAGCACACATCTTTCAGTTCTGTGGAATGCTGCCAAAAACAGAACTATACAATTAACTGTAAAAGAAACCAATCGAAGTACAAGAACAAAAACCAACCAAAGTACACAGAGCTTCAAGGATGATGATCGAACTACTTTGCTTCCTGAAAAGAGCACATCACCGAGGGCTGACTTTTATCCCTTATGGGAGGGGCAATCACCTCCCAGCCTTACTCCTGAGTCGCCTCTTCTGCTTCA